CTCAGCCTTCTAGGTCTTTTGACACAGGCCTCTTCTATGACCGCAAATTTGCCCCGCGTCTCCTACATTAAGGCCATCGACCTCTGGCTCATCTTCTCCATCATCTTTGTCATCAGCGTCCTCGTAGAGTACGCCATTGCCATCACGCTGCTGCGACGCAAACGGCGAGAAAACTGGCGCAACGACGTGGAGCACATCGTGAAGGAGGAGTTGGCTCGCTGGTGCGCTGCCTGTCAGCAGACTCAGTTAGCAAACCTGCAGCTCAACACAGGTGGACTGGGACACGAGTTCAGTCAACAGTTTGCCTTCTTCAATGACCTTGACACATTTCTGACCCGCACTGTCATTGAGGAGTCACAGAAGAAGTCTCGAAAGAACAAGATTCCTGAGGCGACGGAGTCTGAGATAGACGCGTACAGCCGGTTTCTCTTCCCAACCTGTTACATCATGTACAATGTCTTCTACTGGCTGTATTATCTGGTGATCGTAAAACAGGGCGAGGAAACGGACACCTGAGTGCGCAAGTAGGCTCATGCCGGACCCAGTTTGCGGATCCAAAATGGACAAAGAGGTTGCTGCTGTTTGACAAAAGCATGCGTAGTTTCTTGTTTGAAAAACGTGTACAGATAGAAAAAGAACATTTGAGAACAGTGTTTGAGAGTCTATACTTCGGTTACGTTTCCTGTGTTTCGCCACTGTAATGTCGTTTATGGTATGCCAGTATGGTTGGTTTCCAATCGTGTGGTTGATCCCGCAGATACTACTATGGATTTTTAAGTAGCCCAGTGCCTAATAGTTCAGGGGCCTGGATGTGTGTTAAGAAACGGAGAACAACCCTGTTTAGGGATTGTGCTGTGTGGATTTTTATTTTGGAATTTAATAACTTTGACGGGGCAAGAGTGCTTATTCGCTTGACCCAATAAGGCTGAGTCCAAACTAGTGGAATGAAAATGGGTTATTAATACTAAGTGTAAAGCTGCTTTGCACTTATTTTAACGTTCCTGAATTACAAGGACGCTTACCTTGCAGTGTCCTTGTGTTCAGAAATAAATTACGGTAAACATTCTTATCTGGACACTACTACTTTAACCAGTGCGATAGAACCACGGTAAATCATAAATTCCTATTTATTCCTAGAACAACTTCTACACAATTGAGATAGAAGAAGTGAAACATAAAGATACTATGACTCACAAATCTAAATTTCTTTGACCGAATCTGCCGATGCACAATTTACGCGGGTTAATATTTATGGAACAACTTGATTTGCAGCTTCTTTCGAAACTGCGTCCGAGCATTATCAAGTGGAATTGACAGGAAACGGGAAAACGGAACCCCGTCTTAAAAGGATATCTTGCGCTTAATTCGAGGATTACGATCAGGAGAGCAAGGGTTAGTGTTGCGATTAGATTTAGGATGGTGACCACTTAGTTAGCATACAGAGGATGGTACTCCATATGGAATCTGGTGCAAATTCGGCCTTAGTACGTGGACCTATATTCTCGTGTGTGACTAAGATATTGGCCGCAAAAACAGTGCCATCAGTTCCAGGTCGGTTACCATTGTAGTGGACATCGCAGTGCCTGACATACAGGTCGAATTATGACCGGACAAGGACATTGTGAAAAGATAGGATTCCTGTCGACCGTTGTATCTACCTACCAATAAAGCGAAGCCTTTACTTATTCCTTACCAACAGCTATGCACTTCGGCGTAATGCATAGATATGCGACATTGTGATAGCATGCTTCTGGGCTGGTGGTTTCATAATATAAATCCTACTGGGCTGCTAAATTTGACTGAGCACTAGGCACTTTCGACTTGGCAGAAATCACGAACTGCTACTATCTGTCAAATTGAACATTATCTTCATAATATGTTGACGTATATAATGTCGGACGGAGTACGCCCACGCAACGGGTCAGCCACGATGTGCTATAGTCGCATATACTGTACATTCTGAGTGAAAGTTTAGGCATCCAATAATCTCGACCAGTAACGACATGGGCGCCAGTTTGTGAAGTCCTTTAAGAACGCGTTCTCCAGCAACTGCAAATCGAAACTGATGAGTTGCACTGTAATGCCTTTGCTGCGTGACGCGAAGAGGTCTGATCCTGTGTTTAAAGTCCGCTTACGGTTTTGCATGTGATATATCGTGGTCATCGGCAAGTTCAGGAGTTCTACCAAGTTCTGAGCCTGTTAAAACACAGATGTTCAGAAAAAGCGATTGGTCAGAATCGTAAGAACTACAAAATTAAATGGCAATCAGCTGTTTTCACATCTTTCAACTTTAAACGACATATCGCAAACTGTAGAACTAGCACCGCTATAACGACTCCCGAAACATTCCATATTATTTTGACAATTGCATTGTTTACGTAATAGCACGATAATTGTAGTACGTAATTCTCCTAATTGCAAAATTATCTTCCATATACTCCAACTTCCTAAGTACGTCCAGAAGAAGTAGACTCACATGAGCACCTCTGAAATTCCGTCCGCCATTGCGGGAGGGGAGATGTGATAGTTTCGTAAATTTGTCGAATTTATAAGCACCATCATTGAACTGACGCCTCACAATCATTTACGTCAACTGACGTAACCGTGGCGCGGCCGCAAACTCTCCGTTCCCGGTTAATCGTTTTCTCAGACAAGCTTTAGTCCACATATGTAACACATCACTCCGAAGTTCGACATTTACGGTAGCATTGTGTGCAAAAACACTCCTCGCATCACAACAAAAACTCGTGTCTTCTGATGATACGTATGATTGGTTCTTTCTTAAGCCTATATAAGGGCAGACATCCATCCTCGATAAACGCACATAAGGCTTATAAAGCTACATGATTACGGTTATATGTGGAGACTAGTGTAGGATAAGGAAAGACGGACAATAACATGCATATAAATTCCTACTTTGTAGGTTGTTATTTTGCGATGAGAATATGAGAACATAATTGATTACCTGTTAGTACAGTCAGTGTGACTTTAAGACTGGGCTGTATGTTATGACACGATTCAGAAAGCCATGGTCTTCACAGCCTTGTTCTTTGTCACCAGATTCCTTGCCGGCGAGGGGGTCTGCGTGCCCGTTGGGAAGATAAGCCCAGTAGTTTGTGTCCTCCTCCTCCTCCTCCTCCTCCTCCTCCTCTCCCTTCTCCTTCTTCTTCTTCTTCTTCTTCTTCTTTTTCTTCTTCTTATTCTTCTTCTTCTCCTCTTCCACCTTTTCTATTGCCGAACTGGCTTGGAAGGCTGCCAACTGACGGATAACTTGGACCTCGCAGTCGGCCCAATATGAGTTTGCGTGGAGCGACAGACTGGCGGTATGAAAGTCAGGCAGCAATGGGGATGGGAAGGGAGAGTGAAGTCGATGACTCAGGGCACTTTTCTCCCTATAAAAAATCTGATGCGCTCGAAGCTATCACGAAGGTATCACCGCCAGTACATGCACTTCAGGGGAAAGGAGGGCCGCTGGAGGTGCTTGTCAGCAGCATGCACTGTAAGTGCAGTTTCCCGCTAAAACTGCAACACAAAATGCAATGGACAGTGATGAGAGGACAGGACCGAAACCCACAACAGAGACCGGGACTTCAGGAGGACGGATCAAAGTCCACAAATAGAAGATAATGCTTCGAGCTAATGGATTGCATCGGAAAATTCGTCAGGCAATCCAGTGACTTGTGTCCTCCTCTCCCTTTGCCGAACTGGCTTGGAAGGTTGCCAGCTGAAGGGACAGCTTCGACCTCCTCGCAGTCGGCCCAGGAGATTTTTACGTTTGGCATGGACGACTGGTGGTGTGAGAGTCAAGCTACATCGGCGCCTTCATATTGTGGTACGCCTAGGTGCGTGTTCATTCGGCGGGTCAGCCACCAATGCCCACTCCGTGTCCGGTCTTCTTGATCATATCTTGATATCAGGCTGACAAGGGGGAGGAGGAGAGGGGGCGGTAGATGCAGCACTTTTTAAGCTACTACTCTGCACGTAAAAGTCACCGTGCCTTCTTTCAGCCTGCCGTAGAGCACGCGGATGATATCGGCGGTCACGACGGTAAAACCGCCATTAGCGATTTCTGAGAAAACAAATCCATATCAGCATATCAATACATGTGTGGAAAAAACCAAAAAGTAATACATGAAATCTGAAAAGGAAAATAAATATGGTAGTGACGCACAATCCAACACGGAGACAGTAATGCTATTCGTCAAGGTCAGCTGACCGGTTGCTTCGAAAATGCAAACATTCAACAAAAATCGGAACCGAAAAGTGTGTGCTCTAATTATGTCAGGTGAATGTCAAGATGACCGCGTTAACCTACGCTTAATCTATTTCCTTCACTCACACGTCGAGAACAAGCTGGGAACGAAATGAAACTCGGATCCCACAAAAGTGCGATAATCATATCATCAGACATCGCTCAGGGTTGAAAGAAGTGAATTCACGGTAAATATATCAAAATGGGGTAGAAATCTGAATAAAAGACTAATTAAAGTGGAATGTGGCATGTTATTGGGTCGCTGTAACACGCAGAAGAAGAAATAGCTGAGCAAAAGTCAAGGAAAACTTGTGAAAGGTACATAGTGGGATAAGAAACATACGTTTGACAAATACTCGAAAACAAAAGGAATGCAGTTATGACAGTATTTATTCGATAAAATATGAGTCATCAGCTTCCGAGGTACAGTGGTTGACAACTTAATTGTTACCTTATAAGAAGTTGGGGGAAAAAGTATTGGACAGCCTTTGTTCGGACGAGATAGCATGAACGTTATTCAGTGGATAGAGACAGCAACCGTTATCACCAGCCATTCAGGTTGCTTGTCCGGCCACAAATTGTGTGTCCGCATCGGAGCTTTGTACGACTGCATCCAATCGAGGAAGACGAAAAATGCGATCGGTATCATGGCATCCACAGGCCGAAGACCGAATCACACGCGCACGCGAAGTGTTTTAAGAGGCGTGGAAGGCGTGGTAGGTAGGAGGCTGACTGTCGGGCGACGACCGACACCCCAACTCAGTCCACGCAGTTGTTTGTAGTGGCCGGTTTGTGGGCTGAGAGCCAGGCTAAAACGCCTCCTTCTCAAGCGATTTGTGACACTCTCATGTATGTGAGTAAAGTGTGTGCACATTACGGCTAGTGCCTCTCATCCGACGTCTCAGTCGAAGACATTTTAGTTATCTAACCTTAGATGGCGACGGCCCAGGCTATATGCAGGACCACGTGTCGCCCTCCTAGGTCAAACGGTCTGAGACTGCGTGCTATGCCAGTATCAACAAACCATGGCCCTCGCAACCTGGTAGGCGCTGACAGTTCCCTGACACCAGGTCCCCCCCGGTAAATGCGCTTGCACTCCCGCCAGTCACACTGGTGACGAAAATGGCTGCCCAGTTATTATCCTCGTTCTGCTGACCCCTGTTGGTGTGCTGCTGTGTTTGCGAAAAATCCTGGACATTGGCTGTGTGGACCAGGGGCTATGGCTGAACGCCTAGGTGCGGCTCCGGCCGTGCCAGCCACCTGCGCCCTCTCCCACCTACGGTCCTCTTGGCTCTGTCTCGACACTAACCTCAGGTGGGGAGTGGGGAAGAGATGGTGCGGTAGATGCTGTGCAAGTCTGCTGACGCTATAAACTAACTCACGCACAAGTCATCGTACCTGCTTCACCTTGCTTTGGAGCACACGATGGACACCGTCAAAACCGACGGTCGAACCTTCGGGTAGGCAAACAGCTGTATAGGGGCACTGTGTGGTAAAGGTCTAATATATTGTGGCAGACTAAAGGTATATTAAAAGAATTTTCGGGCAACGGTAGGTTATGTAACCCCACACCTCAACTGAATTTAACTGTCTTATTGCTTTTTTATGAGAGGGATCATGTACAAGTATTCTTAAAGAAATATTTGTGTTGGACGACAGAGAGATGTCAAGGAAGCAGAGCGGTTGTGTTCTAACCGAGACAATGTAAACGAAAAGGCCGCCGGTGATCCATGCAACAGGCATCGTATGGTGAGTACCGACATGACGCAAAAGGGTTTGCCTACTCTTGCGGAAGAAATAAGTAAATAGTACGAGATCAACAACAAAGGCAGTTAAAGTACACAGGGCCAACTGCAAAATTAGAAGAAGACAACGGGTTAGGGGAGGTGGGAACGAAAACATCACACCAAACAATTTATCACTAAAAAGACAAACTAAAACAACTGGGCGGGTACGCTAATTTCATACCGTTAGATAATACGTAAAGGGAGAATTCTATAACCGTGGATTAGTAAAAGAAAAGGCCTTTTAAGATATAGTAGTTGCATAGGCTGCTAAACCCAGTGGCGTAACACAAGATATGCTCACTACATACTGTTATGAAAACGATGAAGTTTGCATAAGTGGATAATGTTCTGCGGTCTATTTCAAGCAAGAAATGGCTTTATACAGCAGTCGCACCCCATAAGATATGCAGACACCATGCTAACTTCTCTCTCGCTCTGACTCTATCTCTGGTTAGTTTTTCGAGTTCAGGCTGCTCCTCGGGCTATTCTTTCTGCAGTTGATGACATCAACCCTGTAGGCTGTCCCGAGAGTTGGTCTTATCTCCAGGCGGTCGGGGTATGGAAGCATATTGGCATTTGCGTCCTCAGTCAACAAACGCCCAAGGAATAATTCCCGCGAGTATTTATACCATATGTTTCGGCACTTCCTACAGTGAATATTTTTAGTTTGGTTTTTGATTTACCCCAACTTATGTCTTATGGGTTTATGTCTCTGTTCAGTTTAACGATTGCGAGACCTACATGAGCGCCCCACACAATGGGAAGAGAATGTTAAAGCTAAAATTCTACTACAGCCTATACAACCCCTGGATCCATGGAAAACGTGTGTTGTCGCCGACTGCGAAAAAAGTTAGGATATTGTTTCCACAGGTGCCCTTCTATTCGGTCTACCTGCTGGGCAATGTAGGACCGCTGTAAACAAATCGATATCTATCGATGACACATCGAAATAATGGATGTCCAGATGCATATGTCTAAAAATAAGCATTACCTGGACAGATTTTCGTCAGTTGATGAGAACGCAGGAAGCAGAAATTAACGCTAAAGATGATATGATCTTCCATAGGATCGGACGTATTTCCGGCTGCTTGCGTTGATCCGTCATCTTCTACGACAAAACAAAGGGGTCGCGCTGAGCGGAAGCTAGATCATCACGTCAAACAATCTAGCATTGAAAAAACATACTGAAACAACTCGGCGTATCCGGTTACACCAAAATGTTAGATAACACACAAAGGGAACCTTACTATCGCTATGGACTAAAAACTAAAACACGGCATTCCAAAACAAATATAGTCGTTTGTTTTATTTCCCGGGAAAATTCGGAAGTGGGAAGGTGAGGGAAAAAACGCGTTTGGGCTGCACCTTTGCCAGTAATCTTCGGCGAATATACCGAACTGATTATTAATGAGACGTGGATATATGTTTTACTCTTGAAAATTGTCCGCGGTTTGAAGCAAAGATAGCTGTACGCTTAATGCCAGACGCCTCAGATTCCCAGGAGAGAGGAGTGGAGACGTTGGTTAAGACCCAGACAAAAAACAGCTTTATTTGTTGGAAACAGTCAGAAAATTGACTATCCGTCAACTTTTGAACTACGGGTGTTTAAAACTGCTATTTGGCAGTAAGTTCCTACAGCGGATAGGCATTTTCGAGGTAGGATTGAACATTTGGGTGAAATACATAGAGTTACGCAAACAACTAGGTCGATAATTTATATATGGCTTTTAGGGATTTTCTCCTTTTAGAAGAAGTTGAATAAAAAGATTTTGGTGGGACAAATTAAAATGAAAAAAGTCTACTACGAAATGTGGATGTGACCTAATGATATAAACCGCAATAAATGCATTTATGACCTGCATTTTCTGTATCAACAATATTTGGCGACGAGGTGCCTTTCGTGTAAACACACCCTGATATATGGCAGAGTAGCTCAAACGCGAGTGAGGAGAGTGCTTTTCTTAGTTCAGTAAAGTCAGAAAAATGCTTTGAATATTTTTAGAAGACTGTCAGCACATCAGTAGACTTCTGGAAGAAAACGTAATGGTGTTTTCCACGTTGTATTTTGCGGATTGCAATATTTTAACACTGATCATATCAGAAAGGTGTGAACTTTCCGGTCAAAAACAGGGCAGCATCATCACGGCAAGATAAATGGACACTATTTTATGTAAAGATATTGCTAAATTATTACAACCAGGACTTGAATAGGTCAATTTGAAGTCAGATATTGAACACTGCGCCCTCGAGAATCATATTTTTATTTTCGAAGCGATACGGTCGCCAGCCTAAATACTGTCATCTGGTGCCGTTAAAAGCCAAATTTTCAATTTCGTCTTGTAGACTGCAAACCGCAGTCCTGAGATGTACTTTTCTTTTAAACGGACCCTTGCCTTCCGCGAACTCAGAGATAGCCATTGGAACTCCTTATTGGCGAAATCATCGGTCGTTTGTGCTAGCAGTGTTCAGCTCTATACCGACAGGTGGTGGACAGTAACGTTTCTCGTAGAAATGTATGTGTTTTATTTTGACAAGTCCGTCAATGTAATAGAAATCAAATACTTAATTGACGGTAAAATATCCAGCCGCATTTTATCCTCCGAATTTAACTGACTGTTCACCTTAAAATACAGTTTCATGACGTTTACATAAACATTCAAGCAGGCATATTTTCGCTTCTAATTCGCTGGAAAGCTGGTAACTTAAAACAACCCCAGATCTACCGGCATCCTGGCGTTGTGAGCAGGAACACTAACTGGTGGCTTTTGCAGACACCAGTAACGACGACATAATTGAAACAGGCGTCCTAGGCTACAGTGGATGAATGAGTAAACAGGTTGATGCAGTTGTCACTCCGGAGTCCATGATGAGAACGAAAACGATTTTCATCCAGTGAACAGGTAACCTCTTTCTCCTAGTTAAAAAAATGCCACTATTGCGTTGTTTTATGCTTTCGAAGAATGACATTATGCCGAACCGCATAATATTGGAAGTGCAAATCGTCCTAACTCTTATAATAAATCTATTTAACTATTATAATTGAAAGGTAGGTACGTTTGACAGCTTATCAGAAAATCTAATGTGCACATATTAGATGATTTTAGGGCAGTTTAATTTTTCATCTCCTTTTCTGCCGGTCACTGCTTTTTAGTTTGAATGAATCTTTGGGAATTATGGCCTTTTGCCCACTAAATAATAGAACATTAGACTCCTCGTCCGCATATAATGTTAGTTATGCCCTCTACCATACACATTAAGAATTTGTAGATATACAAAACGACCTAAACCCAGCTATATCTAAATAAATCTAGTTTATTTGGGGGATATAGGCAGAACCTTGGAAAACCCTATTTACAGATAGACGTATGAAAAAAACATGCAGATATGTACATGGCAGTTATGCCAGTCATTGATATCATGTAATGTTTGACCGTCAAGCATACCTTTATCAAGTCTTCTTTCGAAGTCTTCCGCCAAGACAACGGAGTTCGGGAATTTGTTCCATCCCTCAACCAGCCTGTGAGAGAAGAGTTTGGCCCGCAAATCGAGTCTGGCATGTTTTGTCTTCAATTTGTATGGGTGCCCTCGGAGACTTGTCGTCCGCGCCAGTTAGAAGAAGTTGTCAAACTGAAGAGCACAGTCTAACCCTCGGACGATCATGTCCCCCCTGTATTGTCTATAAGATAGAGGAAATATTTTTAGCTTCCCCAGCCGTCTTTCGTAAAGTTAGCCACATAATCCGCCGACTAGCCTGGTCGCTCTACGTTATAAGTTCTCCAGTAGGGTGTAATCTTGTTTCTTACAGTGACAGCATGACTTAACACAATATTTCAACGTCGGTTGAACGTATACTTCAAATACTTTGCCGAAAAGTTCATCAAAATTGACGAAGGATCTTCTAATCGCTCCTAGGATACCCATAGCTCTTTTTGCTACCCTAACGCAGTGAGACGATGGTTTGGAAGTTGACGTAATCCACATATCAAGGTCTCTTAATTCGTTGACGGATTCGAGTTGGTGGCTTCCTATAAAGTAGTGAGATTCAAATATGAACAGTCTCATGTTCCTCGATGGTAGTTGGATAAGTTGGCATTTGTTAACGACGAGATTAAGACACCAATCATCAGACCATTGTTGCAAGTGATTCATATTGTCTGAATCGCTTGCAACAATGATGTAATGCAGGTATGGAAAACTAACGAATGTTCGGTAACAAAATTACTTCGCATGTTTTGCAGGGAATTCGAACACGCGATCCCAAAAATAGCGAGTGTGTTTGCTTGTTCATACTGCCCATCATCTGGCAGTATGAAAATGCGACAACAGACGAGCAGCTTTGTAGTCAGGCAACTGCGGAGACGGTGGTGTGTCAATCACTGGACTGAGTTTACATCGTCTGATTTGCAGATTATTGACCCCTGGGTAGTATCTAAACCGCGCCACCTTGTCGTATGAGATTAGAGATTAATAGCAGCGGAAAGATATATCAATTTGATTTTTATGGAAATTGATTCAGACACTCAGGCCTTCAACAGTTACGGCAGCGTCTCTTTGCCTTCTCATCCTATTATTCGTGTAGCCTTCTTTTAGGTTTTGAGTAGCTACTTGAGACAAATGATAGCCCTACCGAAGAGCCCGTTTGTGCGACGTAGTTCGTCCTCTCTGGCCCTCATATTGTCAGGGACGGCAGTTACCATGCGTTTTGATAAACTACACCCAGTCATTCACTTGGTTCTAGTTGACAGTTCGTCTACATTATACTCACGGCGATGCCCATGGCCATTTTTTCCGTTGCCTCTGGTAAATTTTTTTGTCTACGGTAGAGAGTGCCACTTAGGTGGGCTTTTCGGCCTACTTTATTTAATCTGACGCCAATCTCACAAGGACTAAATAGGCGTCTGCTGTTGTTCTTGTGTGCGCTTTTAAAAGTCTGCCTTCCGCAGTTTTCAGTCCACTTAGTTTAGCGCCGCATGAACAGTCTTAACTGCATTTGTCAAAACTTAAATTTGGATTTTACCATACTGGCGTCTTTAAGCGTAGTGAGATGGAGGCACACGTCCGACTACGCCTTTTACCCAGATGCAATCTTCTTACTCAGAAACTACTTATGGTCCCCTCTAGTTAAATGCTTCGGGAAATAGCATTTATCATATTGGGTAAAACTTCCGTTAGTCAGTGCTTTAAATGTGCGCCCACAGAACAATTCCTATGAAGTCATTTTTGAATTGGGAGTTGTAATTTGAAATGGCCGTCTTATCCTCACACTTCCAAATGCGCTGTTAAATCATTTTTGCCTTTGCAATTAAAAGCAACTTTTAATGACTCAAGAAATTCCATGCCATTATTAAAAAATAGGAAGCAGCACAGGTATTATCACGCCTAGTAGGAAGAACCGTTTCTCTAATTTGCAAAGTAAAATACGCCATGGCCGCTTTAATAATTTCAATAAAAGGCACTATCTCCCTTGTCAGAAGAACGGAAGAAAAATAAAATGTAACCCAACATTTCCTGGGACAGTATTTGTTCTTATTCTTCAGCCAGCTCAAAATCCTTTCACACTTTCTTTCTAAAGTAGCCCATCATTAAACGATAAAAATATAAATGTCTCTGTGACAAGTCAAAGCAATTTCCAATAAGTAAATCCGAGGTTTATGAAATTTGATCACCAGTCCCGGGAGTATTTCCTTACTATTACTTAAAAAAATTTTAGCCAACAAATTTCAAGCACACTTAGACCGCCTTAAGGAACAAGTAAGATGTTGAAAAATGAGCCGTTCCGCAGTATAGATGGGTTCGAGTAAAATTCTAGAATTACCCATTACCGTGTTCTAACTCAAAGTTTTATGCTGGCGTCACCCTTTGCAACGACTTCAAAACAGTGCCGCCTGTAATATAGAAAGGTCCGTATATTTGTGAGCTACCAGGGAGCATGTTTTGCATCGTTTAATTGCGTAAACAACCCCGGCAATTTATTTAACTGACGAAAATGCAGTTTTTTGTTTTCGGCTGTCATAAATGCTGACGGTCAGGATGCATTTACTTGTTAAATAAACCAAAGATGTCGCGAAGAGGGAGAAACGATACCGGCTGCTTCCTGGGACTCGTCTTCTCGCTTATATTGGCAAACCAAAGATGTGACATCAAAATCCAACTATAATAATACGTTTAATTAAGCGTAGTCTCACATATTTCATAAAAGTGATGGCTATTCAAAACGTGACGCCAGCCAACAGCACCGACCCATCCTCAGCACTTACAAAGCAATCTCGATTATCCGGACATGTTCAATTTTAAACTTTTTTCACACTGTACAAACGTCTAACGACGATCTGGGGAACCAGCGTCGAAACGCTTCGAAATAAAGTTTGCTTGATTTTCCAAAGGGCTTATTTTTCTTCGAATAAAACTGTATGCATGCAATGAAGAATGATTTTCTAGTGAAATGGTTTACATGATTTTAGTGAAAGTAAACAATTTGCCTAGACAAGCCACTAATGCAATCCGTTGTTTGAAAATTTTATATAAATGCAGGTGCCCCAATTTTGATATTTGAAGACCCATGCCATTCCTTCATTCGGAATGGATTCTAGATAAAATATCTATCTTAAACCACACTAGAATTCGAAATTCAATATTTCTAATGATACGCAATCAGAGGACTGATTCTATACTCAGTCTTCTTTAGATAACGTTAGTCATTCCCGCTTGAATTTCTGATGTCCGTCAACTGTCTCAAGACCTCACATATTTCGCATTCATCAATGGTAAGCAAAACCTTATGCCACAACCCAACTCCATTCGTAGTTGCATCGGTTTTTTATTAATCCCCTAAAGTGAAATTTCAAGCAGTCCATACGAGGCCGACATTTGAGTATTTATTATAATGCATCACGTGTCCATACCTGGTGACAGCGTTTGAAAACTCCAGTTACAAACATTTCTTAAATCTGCACTTTTCTAGAAAGGACTGCAAACAATTATTCTACCTCTGCTTGGGTGAGAAATATTTCTTGGTCATTACAATCTCATGTAAGTCTGTTTTATTGGCGTCAGAAGTCAGATTAGACTTCTGCGCAGCATCGTTGTCTGTCTAATTGGAAATAATGATTGCAGAAGCGGCCATTAATCTACATTATCTAATTGGTCTGCAGTCTGACTATCCTTACGTGCATTATGAGGTAGTTTAGATGATGTGGCCGGAGGCCGCTGGTGCTTTTACAGGGTACAAAGACATAGATTGGTCTTACATGCATGTGTGAGGTTTTGAAAGATATCCAAAATGGGATCCATCTCACCTTTAAAAATGATGTGAGCCCTGACGAGTGACTTTTGAGGATTCGATCCTTATATAGAAAGGACTGATTAAGGATAATCTTGAACTTCACAGATTTGTTTATACTATGAAGCCAGGAATTCCAAGCGTTATGCAACCTAATTCAATGTGTATGACCCATCGTTTAATTAATTATATTAGAAATGCTGACTATTCTTTGGGAGCTCGGTTCGGTTTGATTGCCTAATATATTCGAGTAATGTGTAGGCTGCCTGAGTATAAATAAAAAATGGCTAATAATCAGAAAAAAATCACAACACTTCTGTAAGGATAGCAGGCTAGATACGCAATACACCGAGACAGTTGGGGCTAAGAACCACCAGAGACGGCCACTTCGCTTTTCGGTTTTGACGGAATTCTTATGAGTTCAACCTCGTTTGCATCTGAAATGTCCACGACAAAAAGAGGGACGGGAGGAGTATGGCACCAGTCTTCTAGAAACACAAGCAGATCCCTATAGTAATGTAAAGGACTTTATCTACCCAACATAATATATAGGTTTGAGACCACTTCTTCATAATTTACTGGACGATTCCTACTGATTTGTTAACAAAGCAGGAGTATTATAATTAAGGTCAGCCTGCCGTACTCAGCAAGTTGTGGTTGAGGCCTCGATAATGTCAGCGGATCCGGTGCAATTGGTAGGGCCCTGCCTTAAAGATAGCCTAGAAAGTGACAGCAAGGAAAACACTATCACATCATAATTGACTGAGTTGCGTGTCTCCCGATGGGTCTCCGAGGTTTTCTTAACTGTCCTGTGGTAAAACTGCCTACTGATATGTATTTAAGTAGATAACTTTGCTTTGACGAGAGGACATTCGCAGATTGTGCTGAGATGGACGTTTACATATTCTTTCTTTGCCCACTCTCAGGAGGCCCGACCTTTCGGAAAAAATCGTTTTCGGCTAAAATTTCTTCTGGACATCCCTGTAATGAGGCGAAATTAAAGCGCGGATAGTTTGGTAGTTCCTGATAAATTTGATAATTTCATTATGATGATGATGATATCTTGGACTAGTACAGTCTGCGACAAGCCGTTAAAGCGGTTAGAATGTAAGCATTCTTTATACACGTATTTCTTGACGCAAGTGCAGAGAATTCGCACTCGTAACCGTCACCGGACTACGATCTTCCACACGTCGACAATCGTTTTACTTTACTTCTGACAGCTCACGAAGAAATTTATGAGAAGCCTGCATGGGATATGCCACGTAATGGCATGCAGTGTGATTGTTTTCAATTCTTGTTATTACGGAGTTTACCATCTTATATTTAGCATTTAACAGAAACTAAGCGCAAGATCGCAAGCTGATAGACTCATGGTTATACCAATATGACTCGTGATCACATAAATGCCAATGTTTCGCCTACAATAATTTCTCTTGGAAATCGATTGGTGGACCTTTATTTACTGCAGTCTGCGTCTTGTGCTGCTCGTAGTACAGCCTCTGTTTTATTTTACTTTGCGATCTTTCTTATGATATCTTACGCCATACACCGAAGAACGGAAAAAAGCAATCAGCAATGAAATCATGCCTAAGTTTGGAAAGTACATATTAATTAATGCATTTCAAACTGAAAAACAATGGAACTAAGGTCATATGGGTAATTCATTGGCCGTTTTATTTGCACTGGTCGCGAAAATAACACATTTATTAAAATCTTAAAGAAAGGAAGAAGAGTGGGGACCACTGAGATTGTTTGAGAAATCTACTCATTTTCAAACTCATCATTTAACTTTAACCTGTGTTTAGTGACTAATTCAGCTTTCTACATATTAATCGAACTTTACGAATAAACAGTAATAGTGAGGGAAATGAATTCTACTGACGTATATTTTGTGCAAGTCATTTTTAGGGAAGGAAAATTACCAATACGTAATTCGTCATTTTATTTTCGAGAGGTCTACAAATGTCATCCGCTGCATGTTTAAAGGAAGATTGCCAGTCCTATTTTTAACGGTTCGTGTAATGGTAATTAACATGATTCATCTAATGGCAGTGAAAATAAGGTAATTACTTTGCAAAACGGCCCGAAATTCTCAGGGTTATATCTACAAGACCTGAAGGCTCTCAAACAAGCATCCAACGCCAACCTATACTCAAAACGCATTTAGCTACAGTACCTAACCGGTCTCATGAAATGTAAGTCAAAGTTCTGAAATGCATTTTCGGCTGGGAAGGATTACGTAAGTGGGATTCTTGAGGAATAATCCTAGGATGTTTGGAACTCAGCGTGATGTTTTCTATTTAGTACACTTTTTTGCAAACTACTGCTAAAATAACACTCGGAAAGACTGGTCGGTTATGTATCATGCATATTTCATATTGATTTTCGATACCCTAATAAATCGAAATATATGTTAATAAAAACACGCGAAAATATGATTTATTTTGCTTATTTGGTAGAAAATCGCACCAAATATACATACGACAGTCAAAAAAGAGTATAATTAAATTTTGATAAAGTTTACCAATAACGGAATAACTTTGAAGCGAATGAACGACAGCATAGGCATTTAACCATTTACGTCTTCAATTTGCTCTCTTTGGCGAAAGTATAATCGTATATTTATCTACACGTCTAAGCAAGTATCATGTAGAGTTAATAGAATTGTCACTGGATGCGGATTATGTCGTACACCTCACGAGCAGCATTGATACACGCACAGGTGCGGTGCTGTGTGAATGGACATTGCACGGTCTAAAAAATTTCCAAATTGAGAAATTTTTTAAAACCGAAAGTTGTCATTTATTTGAGCCTGAGATGCAAAGCCGGCGTGATTTGCTGCCAAGTTAGTAAAGAAATTATATTTTTGAGTGTTTTTTACAAGATATATTTGAATTTTTTGGGACATCGAAAATCGATATGACGAATGCATACTATATAAGTAGCAGTTTTTATCGAGTGTCGTTTTATAGGAGGCCGTAAAGAAATGTATTTAAAAGCCAGCATCATGGTGAGTCCCAAATACCATAAGATGATGTCCTAGGATAGCAGTAATACAACCCTACCTTAGTAGCCCTTCCCAGTCAAAAACGTATTTCGGAACTTCGGCTAACATTTTATGAGATCAGGCACGCACTTTAAATTAACAGATAGCATATTTATTTTGGTTAACTTCGCTGTTCTTCATTTTCGTCAAATTTTCAGTCCACCGCAATACTCACGATGCGCATCCCTAATATTCATTCTTCAACACCGAATATTTAATTTGGCTTACTTTTTAAAAGGACAGAAGTAATGATAAAGTAAGTATGCAAATGTGCATGTGTTATTTAGTTAAATGTTGGCGAGTGGAAATGAGCGTATGTTTTACAATTTCATATGAGCAATGCGCATACTGGTATTAACGCAAAGATGTGGAAGAGCATTGCATGCCGTTTTTAAAATCAGTTTTTTTCATTGGAAACACTGCTACTGACTACGCTGGTGGCATCGTTTTTGGGTACTGAAACGTGTGCATATGGTTGCTTTAGTTAGACCTTTCTTCTGATTGAGACATTACAGCCGTATCGGCGCAGCTTCAGTAGGCTGTTCAGACCTAGATGCCTCAACACACCCGGTGTTTCAGGAATGCTTGGACAAGTTCGTCCTATATGAGGTAAGTTATGAGTGCAAGATCCATCACTGTGCCCTGTCGATTTGTAAGAGGCGCTCGTAACGTTGTCTGTCAATCAAGTGGAAAATAGAGGAGTTTGAGCCGGAGCTTACACGCAGTTGGTTTAAACTTTGACCACGAATTAATTCAGTCCTGACAGAGAAAATTACGACTTAAGTGGCTAGTGCTTAGTTCCAGACTGTCTCTAAAGTATGTCGAACTAAGTCAACATTGTCATATATTTAATGTAACATACCGGGTTACTTACAAACTTTCGGTAGCGCCTATTTTGCCACATTTGCAGGAAAGGAGCGAGTCAGTATCCAACAGCATAGTTGGATCTAAATGACAAAGACTGAAGAAACAGACAGCTGCAATCTTCTTAGATGATATCTGGTTACATTGCTGATAGTAGGGATATGGTATAGCGATGTCGTATGCAGCCTTGCGTAAGCAACAAGAGACCAACACACGGTGCGAGGAAGACGACAAAATGTTAGTCTGAAATATTTCGGAAACATATTTTTAATAAAAGCATAGGCTAGACTCTAGTATCCATAATGGATAATGGCGAGTATGCATGCATTTTGGAATTGTATGTTGGAAAACACAATTCAAACGGTTATTCGACTATTAGTTAATTTTTTAATTTTCCCTTCGGATCTGCAAGGTACTTGGTAGCGCCTGGCAACATTGTATTTCACACACTCTGATCTTTACGGATGCATGTGTTTGCCTCGGTCCCTAAAATCGAAGGGAACGGCTATTTATGGCCAAGCGCTGAAGACATTTATGCAGCATTTCAATAATTGTTTCCGATTCGCCGTAACCGAGTTTAAAACTGACTAGACGTTTGTTATTTAGGGCATGCGTTTGAATTTTACTTGACTCTTTTATGAAAACCTTAGTGTTTTGTCCATCAGAATTCCTGCGGCGTCCGAGGAAAAAGAGTTGCTATCATCCTCGCTTGTCACAAACTGCCCAAATGGGCGGACGGCATTCCCAATCCGTGTAATGTGTTAAATTCATATTCGAATAAGAAGAGAATTGTTTACATATCGGACAAAAATTTTCAATAAAGGATTCGCGGAATTTATCTGCTTCAAGAACTGTAACACAAACTCTAGACATTAAAAAGATCTTGAATGAAGAAAGATGAATTTTGCGGTTAGTTAGTAGCTCCATCGAGCTAACATTGTGATTTACATACCATCTTATTGTTCAGAAGAGGCTTTAAATGTCAACGAGAAAATTCTTTTGTCGTATGCGAACAAATGTGACAGTTATGAAGCAAGCTGTTGCTGAAATTTTGTCCGTCAACAGGTAAGAGCTTGACTATTTAGAAACTGTCTTGAATAAAAACCGAATGAATCGTGCATTCCTTCATCTTTTCTGTTTTATTCTCAAATCAAAACGGCAAGATTTTCTATCATGTCCTTTCAGATTTTGTTAATTTAGTTTATGCTTTTGAAGCTATGTCTTATACTTTGACCTCTAACCTACGGATTTTGCATTTAAAAACACGGAACTGGTGCGATTTAGACTTGCTATGATGCAGGTCTCCGGAAACTGTGGAAATGTCGCAATAACCGACAGATTAAAAAAACAAACCTGACATGTTAAGACACCGATGTTGAAGATTATACCGTCGGAAACATTATTGCCTTCAAAACAGGGTTTGCTACACCTTATTGACATCGTAAAATTTTAAATGATTAAACATTATGATGTACTATCGGCGGGAGAGCTGTCGTCTGTCAAGTTCTTAAAGTCCTCTTTTTGCTCCGCTGTGCCTGTTATACGGTAGCTGCTCAATTAATAGTGTGCATAAAAAGATACGCCAGTTTTCGCGATAGTTCATAAGGCACTGCGCAAAGGCTTGTCTAAAATCATACTAGGAGTTTAAAAGTGACTTTTCGTTAAATAAATGTAGGGAAATGTACATAATATTATTTTAACAACTAGAAAATCAAATCCTTATAAATGGTAAACGCTGTTTCATTCGGATATTGAAGACTTGATAAGGGAGCCCCTGATACAGCTCTTGTCAATGGTGTATAACAGTCATCTGGCAGTCGGGTTAGTGAACCCATGACTTGGATCGGGGAAGGTTTTCCGCTTACGTCCTAAAGTAGATGGGCTAACTCGTGGAATGTCAATCGAAATTCCGAAATGTGCTTTCGTTTAAAAAGAGTAATAAAGTAGGGTTGTAAAACTGCTAAGTTGGCATCCTAATTCTGCAATATTTCAGTTACCTCAGGATGCTGGATTTCAAATGAACTTCCTCCCGGCTTCATGCAAAAACGACACACTCTAAAAATTGACTACGGATGTAGCATGCATTTTTCTCATTTATTTTCGCTGCCCCTAAAAATCCAATTATATTTAATGGAAAACATGCATAAAAATTTATTTTTTGCTCCGTCGGTAAAACATTATCTTCTTTTCTAATTTTATGCTCAATGGAGGGATATAATTAGGTTTTAAGAAAGTTTCTAATTGAGGAACTTTAAATACCGTACAATGGCCGTTCATAAATCGTCATGTCTCAGCATTTACCAATGTAGCTCGTAAAACTAACAAAAAGATCAAATCCACTGCTAAATTTTATGAACCCTATGTGGTCTACCTTCAGTACCGTAGAGAAATGTGTGGTTTGCCGTATGCGGAAAATATAAGGGTTGTAGTTTGGAAACCCCGAATCCAAGTGTATCGGTTGAGCGGGTTCAAGATTATTTAGGAATTGGAAAATGTTTTGAAAACCAATTTGTACCCTTCATTAGAGTATAAGATTGGAAGAAAACATAACCTCCTACCGAATAAACAAAGGATTGAATATTTTTATGTATCCTTTTCACAAAATGTAATTGGATATTTAGGAGCACCGAACATCAATAAGAAAAATGCATGCTATATAAGTAGTTATGTTCAACAGAGTGTTGTTTCTGCATGAAGCCGGAAAGTTCATTCGAAAGCCGACATTCTGCGGTAACTGAAATATTATAGAATTATGTTGCAGACTGGCTAGTTTTACAGCCCTATTTAATTAATAATTTCAAAACGAAAACGCAATTCGGAATTTCGGTTGACATTTCATAAGTTAGCCCACCTACTGTAAATATTGATGCTAGTGTATTTACGTATAAGTTTAAGAGGGTATGCTCATGTGTTCTATAAATAATCTAATTTCTTTCGACAGAAACATAACACTACATAGGTTCTACCTGTACAGATTGGCAAAGTTGAGATATCCAAAATGATTATTTGAAAACGAAGACAGGCTCTCCGGAGCAGGTTTATTTAATGCTGACGTTTCAAAGAGGTGGGTCGGCTCTTCATTGTCAAAGCGTAAAATGCACTTAATCGGTCAGAATTTTAATTTAAAGTAGCCGTTGTGTTGGCTGGCCTCATGCTGATCGATTTTTCCCTCCTCTCGCTGCCTCGGCCTCTCGGGATATGGTTGACGGGCGTTTTGCCTGTGTGCTTCGTGAGTCACTACTCCGTCGAGAGGAACTGATTGGACTTTGGTCGGGCGTTCGGTCTGGCGGTTCTTCTTCTTTAACACCGAGTAAATTCAGGTTTTGGCTATCTCCGTGTGGCTTTCTTAAGTCCGGTGTGGTTGTTTGGTCCTGAGCTCTACGATTGTGATGACGTAGGACTTTGTAAGCTGCAGGAAGGTCCAGATGCCTGTTGATAGAGTGGGCATCGGAGAACCACGCCTCGAGAGTTAGCCGTTCTGTTTTTGTGTTGCCTCGGCCTAAGATTGTAGCCCTCTGGAGGTCAAAAATATGCCCCGTTTCTCCAACGTGTGTTGCTAGTTGACAGCTAGGGTCTAACCTCCACCGCTGCCTGGACAATCAATTGACCCCAAAGAGCCTCACTTACGAGCCTCCTGTGAATTCTGCTCTGGCAAGGGAGACTGTAGCCCGACTTGGCAGAAGAATGACAAGAGTGCTAATTCACGACTGCCATCAAAGACCTAAACGCTACAATTTAGAGATGGACCGATCTAAGTGTTATCTCTGGAGAGCTGTCGGTGAAGAATCGAAGAATATAGAGTTGACCATTCTCAGACATGCTCAGAAAGTACGCGCCAAAAGAGACTAGGAATTATCTATAAAATTGGAAAACTTTCGAAAACCAAGCTCCGACAACTCGTCAGGCGTTCTTGCTCACAACCTTTCATCTAAAACCCTTACGAACACACACCTCGCAATCCTGGAACGTGGAGCCACTTTTCACACAGCAGATGCCGCACCCACAGAATTTATTGCCGCCTTCGAATCTGTTCATCAATTTACAAAGGCATCAGAAGAGACGAAAGATTTGATCCGTCGCCAAACCTCCTTGTTTCTTATGCGACACAGAAGGTACGAAACTCTTAGCAGTATGGAACAACGAGCACTGAAAAGCCTAAAAACACACAAGAACGTAATTATTCTGCCAGATGACAAAGGACGTTTAACAGTTGTGCTGGACAAATCGGATATCCAGAACAAGGTACAGGGCTAATTCGAAGTCCAGCATTCATACAAACAATGTCGTGCCAGCAAAATGTAAAATCTAATCACTCGAATAAACAGAAGCCTAAGAAATCTCAGGACTAAGGGGGCGATTACACCCAACGACTGGTTCTCCATGAAACCCACTGACACCGCCACGGCTCGCTTTTACGGTCTTCCAAAAGAACACAAGGCAAATGTCCCACTCAGGCCAATCGTAACCCCTTCGTGGAACTCCGACGTACGGTTTGGCAAAATGGATATTCGATCGTCTTAAGCTTTTGGCCGAAGGCTCACCAACAACAGTACCATCTGTGTATCAATTCCCCGAACGCATAAAACATCTGAGGTTAGAGCCAGACGAGTCCATGGTATCCTTTGATGTCGTTTCGCTCTTCACCTTCAGTCCACAGCAACTAGCGATAGGCGTTGTGGACCAACTGCTGGCAAAGCGTTATGAGGAGAGAGACAAACCCCTGAAGTCTGAGCATCTGCTCGAGCTCCTGCGTTACTGTCTTAAGAACTATTTCATCTTCGGCGGACAAATGTGCAAACAAATAAAAGGCACTCATATGAGCTCCCCTGTATCAGGCCTAATCGCTGAAGTAGTACTTCAACGGGTAGAACATTTGGTGTTCACCAAGAATCAACCAAAGTTCTGGGCCCGCTATGTCGATGACACCTTCGTCGTTGTCAAAACAACTGACTTTGAACACCTAAAGGAACTACTGAACTCGGTTGACCCAGATATCCAATTTACGATGGAGGCAGAAACAAACAACCAACTGCCTTTACTTGACGTACTTGTGCGCCGGTGTACCACTGGACAGCTGCAAACTGCAGTATTCCGAAAATTCACCGACACGAGGCAGACCCTACACTTCAACAGCAACCATCCTCTGTCTCACAAACGTAGTTGCGTCCGCACTCTATTCCAAAGAGTCGAAACACACTGCAGCACACCAGAAGATAAAAGGGCCGAACGATTGTACCTTGTGAACCTATTTGCAGCCAATGGTTATCCCAGGCAGTTCATCAAGCGAAGCAGACGTTGGGCGCCCAGACAACGGCCAAATGAGCAGCAACCCGAAGTCTGGAGGGCCATGTCTTACGTAACAGGGGTCTCTGAAGCGGTCTCGCGACTCTTACAACCCACCAGAGTAGGCATAGTCCATCGACCACAAGCAACATTTCGACGTCGCCTAATGCAACCTAAGGACCCATTGCCACCCGCTGAAATCTCAGCAGTCATCTACAAAATCAGTTGCAATGAGGGCGACTACAATTATGTGGGCGAAACCGGCCGAAAGTTGCAAACCCGCCTACAAAAACACAAATCGGCCACTCGGAGGTTAGACCCTAGCTGTCAACTAGCAACACACGTTGGAGAAACGGGGCATATTTTTGACCTCCAGAGGGCTACAATCTTAGGCCGAGGCAACACAAAAACAGAACGGCTAACTCTCGAGGCGTGGTTCTCCGATGCCCACTCTATCAACAGGCATCTGGACCTTCCTGCAGCTTACAAAGTCCTACGTCATCACAATCGTAGAGCTCAGGACCAAACAACCACACCGGACTTAAGAAAGCCACACGGAGATAGCCAAAACCTGAATTTACTCGGTGTTAAAGAAGAAGAACCGCCAGACCGAACGCCCGACCAAAGTCCAATCAGTTCCTCTCGACGGAGTAGTGACTCACGAAGCACACAGGCAAAACGCCCGTCAACCATATCCCGAGAGGCCGAGGCAGCGAGAGGAGGGAAAAATCGATCAGCATGAGGCCAGCCAACACAACGGCTACTTTAAATTAAAATTCTGACCGATTAAGTGCATTTTACGCTTGGACAATGAAGAGCCGACCCACCTCTTTGAAACGTCAGCATTAAATAAACCTGCTCCGGAGAGCCTGTCTTCGTTTTCAAATAGGTTCTACCTGTTTACCTTGACGAGAGGAACAGGGAATCCTCCGATCATGAAGAATGAATGAAAAAGCCTATAATTGATAACTGTTTTCTCAAAAAATTTTCAGTGAAAACTCAGATTGCTAGTAGTTGTTTGGGTCTATTTAATTCATGCCGTATATAAAGTTGTATTACAAACAGTGGAACGAAATGTCGCAGTTAGCGGCTGAGGTTAGGGGTTTTGTTTAGGGATAGGGGTAAGGACAACTATTTCTTAAACACTCAAATTGTAATCGCGAATTCCCAGTAGCTTTTATTCTGCATACAACTACTTGACCTCGTCGCCAGTGCGTTCTTCGGCTTCACCTTTAAAAATACCCATTACCACTGTTCTCTTATTACCGGTGGTTGGGGTTTGCTTACCTCAGATGCGTTTACATAACTATATCCCAGAGAATATTATCGCGAGGGGCGGGGCAGAAGGTCTGGTTGTCTGGCACAAATCCCCACAGCAAACATTTTGATATACCCCTGCCTTCATGCGCTACGCTCGTGCAGCCAGGTAGTGCTGTTTCGTTCCCGCCAAGAGCGCAAACCGGTATCATATCTTGAGAGCAGTGTGGGTTTGACGCTATGAACCCAATCGAGTCACGAATGCTAGCCTGGATCTCTCCTTGTCTGACCGCGAAAGTGTTCGTTTGTTGTAACCTTCTCACAGTCACTGATGATGTGCTCCTATATGAATTGGAAAATGTGCTTACCGCAGCTGACGTCCCCTGAAAAACCCATAATGCTGTCTTATATCTCAATGTTCTTCGACTGCCTACAACTGTGCTCCTAGGCTTATGAGAATGATTTTGTAGGTGGTTCTGGTTTCTCGTCATGCTCTCCTTCTGTGATCAGCAAACATGCTTATGCGTTAGATTAGCTAACCAAGATGCAATTAATGAAAATAATATGGACAGTTCGAATGCACAGGTTAAACGGCAGACGATAAGAATTTGATTTAGAGCAAGTCAGGTTTTGAATTTTTTACTTCGTAAATTAAAAAGTACATGTATTGTTCAAAATAATCCCGATCAGTGCTTTTAGTATAAGCATCGGCTTTCGCCCGTCAAGCTAAACATCCAATGTAAAGTGGGATAAACTAATCTTAGGATATGTCGTGAAATGCAGCTCCGGTTTTATATAGTGCACACTGAGAAAAACAACGTAAGTAAAATAAACGTCTAGACTCCTTTGTTATCACTGTCTGCAATTGATTAGTGACACAAAACGACTCTGTGTAGAAAGCTAATTTAATCTCTCGCCGGTAATGAAACGGACTTGCATGGCATTTGAACGACCGCGGTTTAATTCTCGCCCACGCATAGATAACATAAAGGTTTGCGACTTCTTTCTGAAAAACCAATCAGTTAAGGAATGCTTGCGATTAGGGTATGAAAACACAACTCGCCAGCATACGCACGTGCGTCATTATTTCAAATGCTCACTTTGCTTTGTCGTGCCAACTGCTTAAACTGTTACTAAAGTGAGCTCACAAATAAACTAACCCAACAATAAATCGCATTGGTTCGAGCGTAGGAATGCGCTTGCCTTTTACGCGATAATTACTATTTGATTCTGACGGATTTGCATGACTTTTGCGTTCCAAATGAATGTGACGTCTGAAGTCGGTGGAGGGCCTCTTATTGCGCATAAATCTAAAACAGGAATTTCGGAATTTTTATTGCGGTTGCAAAATGGTGTGATTGCTATTTTTAATCAAGAAATGTCCTACGACAGTTTTCTGCTTCGACAACAAGTTAACTGAAAAATTTGGTAATAAAGTGATTTGTTTGTCAGTGATACCGACTTCATGAAGCAATATCGACAATAACAGTTTACGATGGAGTAACCATTTTTGGTCCATAACCCGCGTACAGATGGTGACAACATGGCTCTGGCGTTTGAAGGCGGATCAAACTTGTTGAAAACATTACGTTGACCTTTTTAAGAAAGTGAAAACGCAAATGGGAAATGTTTTATTCCGAAAAGAATATCCAGATCCAATTCCCATCTTATTTAGATGGTATCGTGTATGAAGACTGAAATCAGCGTTGACCTAATGAATTATCTGCATTTTCCGAGTGTTACTTAATCGAATTAAAGTATATTTTCCTAAAATTTCAATTAAGACAGGTCCTGAAATGATCGATAGAAGCGAACATACGGGTCCCAGAAAGCAGTTCAAAAGAGGCAGATGCGATTGCTTGGAAGGAAGCCTTATCGGCCTGGCGTTTCGTAGTCCGCAGTCGAGCCCATCACCAGAGACTGTCACAGACAAGGGTGATGGAGCCACAAGAAGTGCAGTAATTATCTAGTGAGTGACCGATCTCATGGAATGTTGGCTGAAAATCTGAAATGCGTTTTCGACTAGGAGGGATTACGTAGGCGCGGTTGTTATACTGATTTCCATGTAGCATAATCCTATAATATTTTTGGCTCGGCAGGATGTCAGCTTTTGAATACACTGCTTTTCAATCCTCTGTAGAAACCGTATACGGTGAAAAAGGACACATTGCGTAGCATGCATTTTTCACTTTGATTTTCTATGGCCTTGCAAATTCAAATATATTTTAGAGAAACCACGAACAAAATTAAGCTTTTTTCAGTCGCTTGATAGAGAATTGCATAATCTTTGTATTTTATACTTGAAGAGGGAGAATAATAAAGTTTTAAAAAGGTTTTCAATTATGAGAATTTTTAAGACCCTACAATTTCCATTCACTTAGCACCGTACCTGGACATTTACCGCAGCTCCTCATGAAATGCACATCATAGTTCGTATTCATTGCAAAATTGTATGGAATGTATCTAATGAATTTCTGAAGGCATATGAGATTTTCTTTTTGCGGAACGCATGTACCTTGTACACTTTAATCACTAAGCGCTAGTGCAACGACTGACCAGGCTCCAAATTATTAGGGAGTAAAAAACCTTTTTTAAAACTTAATTATACTTCTTCTTCAAGTATCCAACACAAAGATTATGCAATTCTCTATCAAGCGACTGAAAGAAAGACTACTTTAGTTCGCGGTATCTTTAAAATATATTTAAATTTGCAAGGCCATAGAAAATCAATGAGAAAAATGCATGCTACGCAAGTTGTCATTTTCACCGTATACGGTTTCTACAGGAGATTGAAAAGCAGTGTATTCAAAAGCTGACATCCTGCCGAGTCCAAAATATTAAAGGATTATGCCACATGAAAATCAGTATAACAACCGCGCCTAAGTAATGCCTCCTAGTCGAAAACTCATTGCAGAATTTCAGCTAACATTCCATGAGATCGGCCACCCACTGTAGATCGCCATTGCGGCGCTACCACATGCCCAGTAGTATAGACAGCTTACGCATTCACTGTCGGATGTCGTAATTGATGCGAGTCGACAATTGTCAAAAGTAACCACTGTTTTGGATTAATGGCGCAATAATTAACTGTTAATTTGGCTCGCTATTACTGGAATTGCCGTTGGCACATATCGTCCCCATATGGGTAATTACTCTACTCAGGCACTCTTAGTACAGAATGCCGTGCCGGGAGACCATTGTGTCTCCTTGTGCCCTCATCAACTTTATCCACGAATGTCTCTGACCTAGTGCTTTCCAGAAACGTCAGGCTGACAAACCTCCTGCTTGAGCGACCGCATCTTCTTATTCTGAAAACGGAACGAGTGAGTTCCGTATGAACGATCGGTGAGCGCCCCCTAACACTGTACATTCCCGATCGAAAACCGACAGGGCGACGGGCTCGTGGCCCGGTGAGTAGAGGCGTTGACTTCTAAACCGACAGGTCGCGAGTTCGAGGCTCGGGTGTTCCACACTTCGGGCTTGGGTATGGCTGGCTGACGACGGCTAATAAGCCAGAAATGGCCATTCCAGTCTCCCTTGTCTTTGTCGATAATACCATTCTGCCTATAAACTTAAAATCTTCTACAATCAGCTTCTTTGCGAGTCATTTATGGTAGACTGATCATTGTAATGTGGGAAAAAAGTTGTATCACATCCGCAACAAATACAAACAACGAAGGTTTCCCAGCTTGCATAGCTGTCCAGATTTTGATTGGAGATAATGTTAACACATGCGCGCCATACTCTTTTCAGCAGGCAAAATAATATTAAAGAGTAAATTTGGCACACAAGTGTTTTCGGTAATTCTTCGTCAGGCCAGTACAGTTACATGAAGGAATGAAAATGTACAAAATTAACAGTGTTTATAGGTGTGTCAAAGGTTATTAAGCCATTACCATCTATCATCTCCACGATGCCCGCATGCCGAGGTCGGCGGGTTTTGGTCTTTAGAGCTAGGGGAGGGGAGTAAAAGAGTCTTTAAGTGATGTTCTTGGATTGAGTACACGCGAAAGTTTGTGAAACATACGCGTAAATTCACCGCGGGGAATTCTCCCGTGATAGCCGTAGTTAAGCGCCGTCTGACTAGTTAGCCCGCTGCGCCCCCTGCAAAAGGCAGTCATGTGAATACATCTTTCTTTTCTGCAGTCGTAACAGTGGGCTTTGCGGCGCGTTCTCCAATACTTCGGAGGATAAATCAATCTGGGTATCCGTTCTCGCGAAGTGCGTTTCGCAGCTGTTGCTGTTCTGCTTCAATAGCTTCAGGTGAGCAGATGCGCCTCCCTCTAGCTGCCAATCCCTGGAGTAGATTTCGTTTGACGTTGAGGGAACAAAACAGTGGCAATTAATGTAGTGCCCCGTCTAGATTTTCTTTCGAAACACCCTGCGCTGAATAGACCTATCCTTCTGCCTGTGTAGAAGGACATCTAGGAATGCAATTTTGTTATCTTCATCACATTCGGAAGGGAACTTCAGCGTCGCTTGCGCACTGCTGAATTGTTAATTTTGTACATATTCAGTTGTTTATATTGGCCTGACAAAGAATTACCGAAAACTCATGATTGCCAATTGACACTCTTAGGAAATTTCGGCGAATGCACGGAGATCTGTAATAAGCACTGTGTATTGCAATAGGAGTAAATGGCAGCTGGAACTTTAATTTACTGATGTAGCCCGTTCCACAGGAGTAAGTGAATGAGTAGATGCACACTTATGTGACTTCCAACGGTAGTATATCTTCACCTGCCAAACACAAGAGGGGAGAGTTTATGAAACATACGCGTAAATTCGCCGCGGGGAATGCTCTCGTGATAGCTGTAGTTAAGCGCCGTCTGACTAGTTCGCTTGCTGCGTTTCCTGCAAAAAGTAGGCTTATGAATACGTAGAATTATATATACAATTATAAATATATAATGTTAGTATGCTCAATAATGATTCACAGTCGGCATCTTTACTTGGTTCTGTGCCACAATATTATTATACGAAATTTGCTGTACGGCGCTATTGATACATTCATAAATCTTCACAAAGAGGTGGGTGTACACCGATCCTTTGGCTTCCCGAAACAAGCAAGCCTCATATGGGTGACAAGGGTCAAAAACATGCAACCACTTCTCATAGTAGAGGGTAGACGACAGAGTCCGGGGGTAGATTAATATAGAACAGTCAAAATATCAGTGAATTACGGGAGCCACCCATTATGAATTACTAGAGATCAGTCAAAACGCCCATCTGTTACGTGGGTGTGGTAGTTTTCTGGAGGATTCTAGGTAGATTACTCAGGAAATCCTGCTTGAGCAGTCAGCTTGCAGTAGCAGATTAGGTGAATACCAGACATTGGTAAAGGCAGGGCGGGTAACCTAACCCAACTGCGTAACTCAGGTGGCTAAAGCGTTGGCTGTACTAAAGCTTTCCTTTGCTACTGTGGGTTCGAATCCCATAGAGCCGCCGAGTTTTTTTACAGTTGAATCCATATGAATTATTCAAGATCTGCTAAATCTTCTATGATAGAGAAATGTTTCGGGCTTGCTTGTCCTTATTCAGCAAAGCATGAACCTAACCATCAGCAAAGACCGGAAACAAAAACATGCGCTCACAAGCCTGGCGCAGCTGCTTTATCACTTCATTGAACCGAAATTCATCAGTGCCTCGCTATCTGTCAGTCTCTGTTGCCGTATATCGGGTATTTATTCGCTCAGAAGTATATATTTGTAGACGACGATATCCACATAGAAAGGAGACACCGGATCGACCATGTATGACTTCTTATCCATAATCAGCCGGCCATACTCAAAAGCCATGTGCGAATCACCTGAGATTCGAAACCGCGATCTTTGGTCATTAAGTACAAAAATCTGATATTGAGCCACGGGTCGCTGTACAGTTGGTTGTAATAAGAAATATTTCATGCACTTGAAGGGCTTTCACCGGTCGGGTCACAAAACGTGGTCGACCCGTTGTACCTCTGGCTTCAAACGATCTTTCGCAGGCGGACACATAGCGACTAGTAGTAAAGTTAGAAAAGGCTCCAATTTCAGGTGATTCACGCTTGTGGTTAAGTATGACTATCTGATGACAGCTTATATATCCAAAAATGACAATTCCGGTAATTAATGTCTTTGTCGGTACTTATATATCTTAGCTCATAAACTGCTAACCGAAATTCTGAAATGCGTTTCCAACTCGAAAAAATTACGTAAATAGGATTGTGAGATCAGTTAGCGTTCAGAATAATCACACAATGACTCAACTACATAAGAATGCGAGCTTTTGAATTAAATTTTTTTCGGCCGCTTGCATAAAATACTTCCTGGAAAAATGACAACTTCAGTAGCATGACTTTTCATTGCCTTCCGATGCCTTTATAAATTTGAATATATTTCACAAAAAACATGCATAAAAATATTCATTCATATATTCTTTTGGTAGCCAATTACGACGTCTTTTAATTTTTTACTTGAATAAAAAGTTTAAAAAAAGATTCTGTTCAGACTGTGAATTGCCCGTTCGTAAAACATAATTTCTTTAAATTAACTAATGGTCCTTGTAAAGTTTGCAATATTGCTCAAGTCTGTTGCTTAATTTTATGAATTCCGTATTGTTCCTTTTAATACCGTGTAGAAATGCACGACTTTCCGTACGGGGAAAATATACATCATGTAGTTTGGAAAACCTGAATGTAGGTGTAACGACAGGTCAAAATTAAATTATCCGGGCATCGGTAAAGCTTTTTAAATGTGAATTACATCCTTCGCTCAAGCCCAAAATTATGACGTCGTAATTTGTTACCACATACGTAAAAGAATAAATATTTTAGTGCGTGTTTTCTGTGAAATATATTTGAATATATAAAGGCATAGAAAAGCAATAAAAAATCATGATTCTTGTGTAGTCACTTTTTACAGGACTTAGTTTATTTAAGCGGCCGGAAAGAAGTTCATTCAAAAGTTCGCGTCCTAAAGTAAAATAATTATCTTGGAATTATACTGCACAGTGAGTAATTTTAGAACCCCACTTAAGTAATTTTTTGCAGTCGAAATTGCCTTTCAGAATTTCGGTTAACATTTCGTGAGTTAGCACGTCCACTGTATGTTACCAGTGTCTGTGCGGGTGGCTGCGAGTCATAGAGAGACGATTATGTCCTGTAACTTGATTGGCGATGCCAAGAACCCTGAAGCCGGCATCAGCAATATGATCATGGTGCTTAAAGTCCCGCTAACATTGGCAAAACAATCAGCGATTGTCTACATGCCATGTCGACATTACGGTGCAGGGTATACTAGTAGGACGGGAAACATCTGCATGAACATCAACTTGCGATCAACCGCAAGGATAAGCTGTTGCTGGTCAATGTTAACATTTTCGTCTTTTAGAAACCACAAATTGTCGGCTGAATGAATAATAAGATGGACAGGTTGATTCCGATGGGTTCGCCCTCGACTGGCAAAATCAATAGAAGCCTAGGCCTGCATCCCGCCTACCGCGGCTCCGCGAAAGGTTAGAGTCAGTTCAGACAGGGTTAGTAGGAGGGGCAAAATGTCACTCGGGGCCGTCAACCAACGCTTGCGGAGGTAAGAGAAGGCCACGACCGGAATTCACGTGACGGGCGTGAAACACTGTCCTGCCGAATCACCCACGAGGCCGAAATCACCCACGCCTTAACAACAACGACGGAGCAGTCCACCACCTGACGAGGGGGAGACCGACGAGTAAAAAACCGGGACAAACGGAAAGCTTACACAAGCCACAAAAGCCCATCAATGGTTGAAATTCGACAGTCAAGTACCCGCCAACAGCAAGCAGGTCGACTTCGAGCACGGTGAGGCAGACGGCAAAGCTGAACAAAACAAGAGTAGTTGGCGCGATAAGACAAACATTGACAGGCTGACCATCAGCGTGTTGAAAGGGTGAGGAGGACACAGGCTCATGGTGGGTCCCAAAGGGGATGGGTGGGTGGAGGGGAGAACACTTAAGGCTGCCGGGGTGAGAGGCTAGTGGGACGGCGGGCGGCTGGATTAGCAGCTGCTGATGCGGCGTGGGGGCAGGTTTCAGTGAGACGTCTAGGTAAACACGACGGTTGACACTGTCCGCATTGGAATACAAGGCCGCAAGGAATTCACTCACCCGTCCTGGCGACGTCCTCACTGCTGTCTCCATTCAGTCAGTGATCGCACTCGTGTGAGCGTGCGCGCAGAGACGAAGAACCGGAAGTCATGGCGACGGACATTTGTTTGGTGTTTGTCAATACGCGAGCGCTTCCATATGTCAAGAACGTTTCGGAAGCTGTCGGCCGCCTTTTCGCACCACTCGGGGTTGGAGTTGCACACAGGCCGGAGGCAACCATCAGTCGTCAGTTAATGAAACCGAAAGACCCACTGCCACGGCAAGAAGCGTCTGGAGTCGTTTATCCGATCTGGTGCAGTTGCGGACAAAGCAACTACGTCGGAGAAACCAGAAGACAGCTCCGAACGCGAATGGCCGAACACGCTGCAGCAGTGCGGAGAAATGACACCAACTCTCAAGTTGCGGCTCATTCGACGGGTTCCGGCCACACATTCAAATTTGAGGAGGCCGAAATTCTCGCAAGAGGTGACGACCGCGTCAGCCGGGAGCTGCTTGAGTCATGGTTTACTGGACCCCAGTCTATTAGCAAGTGCAATGATCTTCCCATTCAATACTCCGTGCTGAGAATCCTCCTAGGCACTGTAATTGGCCACGCGGGGAGCGCACTGGTGAACACTCTTCCCAACACACGGGTCAGCGCTTCAGATGGTCGAGCAATCATCACACCTCCATCCAACGCACGTGATGAAATTGCAGCAATTAACGACGCGAATGTCGGCCATCACGCCACGTGCAACGATCCCTGATGAAGGGGAGGGAGCCGTGAATATTCATAGGTATGCGGTAGCATGGCTACTGCATCCTTTAAATACTGCAGCCGCCTGTGCATGAACCACCCTTATCTGCTTATGTCTCTGCTGATGGATTCGAGCAGGAATCCAAAACGTCAGGCTAATAAAGCTCTTGTCCCGGCAAACGTGTCTTTTTCTGTTTTTTTTCTTCTTCTTCTTCTTCTTCAAGACTGCTTCCTGGGACTCCTCTCTTCGCTTTTATTGGCAGTGTGATTAATATACGCGCAGGGACAATTAGCATACGGGATGCGATAGGTCGCATGTGCTGCTCTTTGGCGCCAGGATAAAGCCGCCTATCACCCCTCCACCCCGTCAACGTAGGAGCCGTAACTGTTCTCTCCTCCTCCTCCTCCTCCTCCTCCTCCTCCTCCTCCTCCTCCTCCCATTCACCCATTGACCTTCCGTGACCCTTTTCCACATCATCTCCCCTAAGCGCTGATGGTTTGCCTGTCATCGTCTGTCCCCTTCGCGCCAGCTGGTCTAGTGTTACAGTCTCCCTATCTATTGGCACTCATTTCGTCTGACGACGGATTTGTCTCACTAACCCCAAAATTTACGAAGGCAACTCTGTTGTCTTCAAAGAACCTCATATTTTTTTCCATTATGTCGATCCGAAACACATAATAAACCTGTTATACATCATGTATATTTCTCAAACAATTCGAGATACGCACTTTGTGAGTTGTGTTTAAATCTGCCGGAGGAGTAACTAATCGCAAATATAGCCCACCAAGATGCACTTAACAGTGCTACGAGCTACCAGCCTTCGGTGCACAGTTAATTGTTCATATCGTCAGGGAACCAAACTTTCTGGGTGATGCAGGTGATAGTTAGATCATCGTTGGGGACGATGTCCGTCGTGTGCTCCACAACAAGGCGAGAAGAGGCACGGTGACTTGAGCGTGAATAAGTTTAGAGCGGTAGTAGATTTGCATAAAATCTACCGCAATCTCTAATCCTCCCACGACGGAGCCCGGTGTCAAGAAGAGCGAGGACGGGAGAGAACGCATGTGACTGTCACGGAGGAATCCTCACCTAGGCGTACCACTACACCCCCTAGTCCATAATAAACACTTTACCAGGATTTCAACTGTAACACATAACGTGTCAGAAAAATGAGGATGACAGAAGTCACTGAACAACAATGCACACGGCCTGTTGATGCGGGGGGAGCGCAAGCACACCGATCGTCAAGGAAACAGTTGCCAAAACACCATGGCTTACTAAATCCTGACATATCAGACGCACACAACCCCCAAAGCCCAGACGGGTAAGATGCAGCGCTGCATTTAACCTAATGGCGTCATAGTTACGAACGGAAGCCCCAACATCCACAAAATTTACCTGTTGCGCAAAGGAACCCCAGCTCGCCATTGTGGCTGTTTGAACAATTAATACCAATGTGGCAGTTGGTTTTTTGCTTTGTATTAAAGTCCAACGCATTTAAAAATCATGCATAGACTGTGGATAAAAACTTATAGTAAAATATGATAATCAATCCTCAAAGACAACCAGGCGTACGAAACGGAAAGAGTATAAATGGGATTTCAGCCATATAGACGTAATCAAAAAACTCATCCAATGATCGAAGTTTTGAGTGAAGGACCAATCAACCCTTACAGACTACCACAGGTCCGTTTTGTGATGAGACCGTTTACTGCCATTTACTTTTACATCGAATTTCCGGTAAGATTATGTTGCGTACCCCTTTAGGTTTACTACGACTAACCAGCTACTGTGTACGTTTTAGTAAGGCATGTTTAGTCCCTGTTTGAGTTTTGTCTAGCACGCTGATATAAACATGTGAGGCGGGTCGCTCAATTACGATCGTTTTAGTGACACCTTATCCGATATGAGACAGCCCTCAGCTTTCCCTTGCCTCTCTTTGCAATCCTTTTCTTTCCAAAGGGTGGCCATACATTCTTGTTTCACGTCGTTACTCACTTAAAATGCGTGCTATAAGGATCGTCGGTTGCGTTTCGGTCAACCTGGCTTCAGTTAGAGCACAACCGCTCAGTCTCCCCAAAATCTCCAAACGATTTCTGGTGTCGGAGGTGTAAGCTATGACATGTTTAATTCTTCGAAAAACCTAGCTTATCCTTCTTTTGCCATGTCGGTACTCACGACACAACGCGTGCTGTAAGAACCGTCGACTGCGTTCTGATTTCTTTTTGGCTCGGCTATAACACAAGCACCTAACATCCCTGATATCTCCAAGCGGTTTCTGTTGTCAAAGACGCATGCCATGGCTTTCTTACTTCTTTAAGTACACTTGTTCGTAGTCGCTCTATTAAGCAGCAGTAAGACAGTGATCCGATAAATTTCATGAAAGAGTCATTCAGAATCCCTATTCGCGAAGCTGTTTCGTGGGCTATGCTTGCGCAATATTCAGCAAGAATATTTCGTACGCTTGCTTTAAACCTACGCTGTCTAGGCCGAACCACAGGCAGTATTGAATCCTGTCTACACGGACCCATATTATCTGGCCCGACGCTGGGATTAAACTCGCTTTGCCCGGCGGTGACCCGTAGGTCAAGTGGTTAGAGCGTTGATTATACTAAAGCCTTCCCCTTGCTGCGTGGTTTCGAATCCCACCGAGGCGCCGAGTTTTGCAAAGTTGAGTCAATACAAATGCATTATAAAGATGTTAACAAGCGTCCATACGCACTTTATTTTAGTTCTTTTCCTGTTCCTTAGTGTGACTTTCCGTAGATTTTCCATTATTAATGTGAATCGTGCCACCTCGCAACAAATTTACACAGTTACCATATTCGGCACTTACTGTTCTTTTCTCCCATTGGCTTTATGTTTCATCGGTCTCTGGGCTGTCGCAAATTTGAAGGCGGGGAATTGCTCAATTACCTTTGATTTATTAAAACTTGCATTTCGTTTATCTTCCAAGTTACGCGTTGCAGCCGTTGCTATGTATAGGCGTAGAAGAAGAATTTCAGCGGAAATTTGTCTATTTTTAAAGAGTTATTGTATGCGCTTCGCTCTCCCTACGCGCGATGCCGCAGCCGTAAAACCATTACTACCACGATTCCCGTATTACAGGAATCCGCAGTTACTGGTTGTGGAGTGGGGTTACGCAACCTACTGTTGCCGAATTTTCATAATAAGTCCTCAGTGAAACAGATGGCGGACTCCACAGACAAATACATGCTCCATCGGCATACTTTAAGTACGCATGAAAAATCCAAAGTAAATATTTATGATATGTTAATATTCAGACGCTAAACCTGGTGGCATTCGATTTGTACTTTCGTTAATGAAACTGACGTTTCCGCGGAAGTATTTGACAAAGGCCTTTTCAATTTTTCATCAAATGTGCTTACGACAACGACTCGCTCTTGAAATCAATTTTACTAGATATAAATCAATTCCTGCTTGGTGCTTTTTGTTTAAAACGGCTTTGTGTGGGCGTTCGTTAGCGTATTTTATAACCAGCGCAGAAAACTTCTGAATTAACCTTCTAACCATTTGTGCACATCATTAGAATGTAGATTATATCTTGATAAAAATATCTTGAAGTCGAAATTCGCAAATATTATTTTCTGTTTGCATCATGTATCATTGCTCTTTTCTGAGCAAGATGCATGCCAAATTCCACCCTGTGCCATGATGTGCATTGCAAACCGTTCAACCGTTTACCGATATGCACCCTATTGGCTGTAAAAGCGAAACGCCCGCATAATCAAAGTGGCATTGGTGTCAATGGGATGGGCGTTAAACTATTGATGCTTATCATGTTTTTAGATGCGGTTGTACACATAGGGCGGCTTCTGTAAAAAATCAAAGGCCCGTCGCCGCTTGTTCCCGTAGATGCGCTAACAAAATGAAAATAGTGCTCTATTTCTGCAAAGGTGTTTGAAGGTCCTCCAGCTGAGCGAATAAAAACGAGTTTGTTTCATATAAAACCATGGTGTGTAAATGAAGTGTGCACTAGTACTATTTTGGAAGACTATAAAACGTACGATACTGGCTTTTTGAATCTTTCCTCTAATAAAAAACGATAGAAGAACCATTGACTCAATTACAATGTCTCCAATAAGTCGTTCTCTGCTTGACCTGCCTTATCGTGCCACATGACACAGATTTGTCAGTTTACAAAAACGGCATACAGTGTAGCGTTGAGCTAAAGACCTCAGCGGACAGATTTGTATTATGACAAACCGTCTAGGTAAGTTTTGATTAATAGTCTTGGTTTTATTGTAGTAAAAGACATAAAACTGCAAAGAAAATTGCATTGACTGAGGTTCATGGATATATCCTATCCAAAAACCGATATCAGCTTAAGCAGCAAAGTGATTATCAGGATGATGAAACTGTGCCGTCCGTTTTCATAATTTCCTTTGAATGAAGGGTAAGCTGGCCTATGAAAAGCCACTGGAAATGCGACTGTGTTTACCATGCGGCGTGTCCTAAGGTGACGTGGATTGCGTAGGACAGAATTATTACGCTCTAAGGACGAACCCATTTAAACATAATAGTATTTATCAAACCTGTTAAAAGTCGAAGATATGCTGACACAACCTTCACTTTCTCGGGAAACAGGGCTCGTTGAGAGAGAACGAATAATTTAAAATGGACTTTCAACTGCCAAACATTCTTACAACGGATGGACTGCTCCCGGTAATAGAGAGTCCAGACGAAAATCTGTAAAACAAATGAGATGGAAATACGATATAGGGAGGGTTTCCTGCTCACAGTGAATACCATGGTGTCTATCGGAATGTTTCAAACAGTTGCGCAGTATGTCATATTTTGTATTTACTCTCAGTTTCATTAAACAACTATATATATTCCCCCTAACCCATTCTTGACATCCGTTGCCTTACAGTTAGTCGTAACATACGTACGCGTGTACCAGCGCTCATGCATGCTGCCATATTATGGAGCAAAAGTGGAACAATCATGTTAACTTTCCTACACATTGGCAGTAGAGACAACTGGTTGTTAAACTGAGTGCAGTGACTAAAACCCGACTTCTGGCAATAAAATGCCCACTCTCTATTAAGGCCCGGAATGAAGTCGCCGGACATTTAGGCAGTTGTCGCAATGGAACTGCTTTCAGCGTATCCGCCGACTTTCATAACGCCAAAAAAACATAAAATGTCTCTTTTCATGCTCTCGTTATCTCTGCTAATTCCATTCGGGCTTCTGTTTGTAAGAAAGCTTCTTAGTCAATACAGTAGAGGCACCTCCATGAGAGAGAATGACTGTCAGAAATGTTGAGGTACAGTTAGCAAGCATAAATAGTTGCCGTGCTCATCTGCCCGCTGTTTAGTTCATCATTAGAGGGGAGAATTGCTATAAAAATGTTGGACAGTTTTCCTTGATTCCCTTTTTATTAAGTTCGTTTGCCCTTTGACAGCCTATCGGATGTGTGGAATTTCACCCATTAATCCCTCAGTGGCAACCTTAACCATAGCCTACAATGGAAAAAATATCTTAATAAGAACAGTTTAAATTTCGAATTTGTTTCTTGCAGCGTATCTGTTGCTTCGCACGCAATTTGACCCGAAACAATAGAAACATGGCATAGACACTGTTTTACATCTGTTATCTCATGTGTTGTTGACAGGACAAAAAATCTTCCGACCAAGTTACAAATTTGGATGATAATTTAGAGAGCGAAATGTCTAATATCACACAAACGGGCCATTTTGAATGGTAACTATTTTCGCAATGAGAATTTTGGCCAATTAACTGCGTAAATAAGATTTTGGAAGAAAGTCAAATATGTGGTGTCAAAACTGTGAAATCAGCTTTCTCACCTGATGCTGGGAAGTGATTTTGTGTACACGCACCAGAGAAATATCAATGTTATGTAAAATGAAATGTTGTGCCCTAAGATCGAATTCCATTCGGGATGAAGACGCCAGTTGTCACCTGCTTTGAGTTCAAAAGTTGGCTCAATGGATCCTTTCCTATGTAATTCACGATGTTTCCTACCTTAAACCTCTCACATCTTATCACATATAGACTTCTATTTTCTTTCACAGATGCTTACAGTCTGCGACTGATCTGATGAAATGTTGGTCAATATTTCTAAAAGGATTACTCAAGTTTGGTTGTATTATTTGTTTTCACGCGGCAAAATCCCATAATAACTTGAACTCTCCAAAATTTTGGCTGCTGAATGCACTTCTTTGTGATCTTCTATGCAAACGACATTCGGTAAAAAATGACTGTCTGCATATTACGCGTTTTAAGATAAACTTTTGCTACCCTTCTATATTAAAAAGAATATTTTTTAAAAAATATAAGTTTTTAATTATTTGGTAGCCAACTGCGTTATATTCACACATTATGCTCAAAGAAAGATTGACGTTTGTATCAACCAACATTTTATCAGATCGGTTAATCACTTTTTGTACCTATTACAGCAAAAGATCTTTCAAACGAACAAGCATATCAAACTCTGAAATCGCCGGAGGATCTATAATGTACCACATAGAAGGTTTGTCTTTATTCGAGGACGCAGTATTTAAATGAACGAATAGCCTACTTTTACCAGCTGCGTTAATTTACATTCCCGCAAATATAATAGGGTTTTTTCAGTACTCTTCGGCTGCTTACTAAGAGAAATTCTCCCTATCTATCGGACTATATAACTAACAGACATCTGTGCTTCGCCTTCAGGTGAACGTATGTTGCTAATGTGCATGGAAATGCTTAAGCCTATAAATAGTTCGGTTGTCAAAATTTGAACAAACAATTCGACGGCCGATTAATTCAGCTGATAAAAATACGATTTTAGTCAGGTCCCATTTACCGTAATCCAGAGGAATAAGAAGCTTCTGCGTAAAACAGGTGGCTATGCTGTGACCTGTAGAGAAATTAGGGTTACAATTATTTTAGAGTTAGTCCCAGGATTAGGTTTGAAATACAAAAAAGGCGCATTTCTTAATTTTTTTTCAGGGCCAAGAGGTATCCAACTCTGTTGTCCGAATTCCTTTCTTAACGAAGCGCTAGTCCGCCTCACTGCTGGTATCCGAAGATAGTAGTTGATCCAACAAAATAGGCGCCCATGCCGGATAACGCTATATAAGACATTGCATTAAGAACATACTAGAGATTCTGAGATTCTGGTATTCATGTGCTTATGCGGTCCTCGTTTTTGATTTCTCATTAGCCGACTTCAATGAGACATGGGCTTTTTCACTTGCGGTAATCCCAATTAGGCCACTGTTCAGAATCGTTCCATCATGTAACCTATTTCGATTTAAATTCTTGCAGTTTCTGGGACGCAAGTTATTTTAAGATTGTCATTCGTGATCATAAAGACGTTTATGACTCCAACCGAACACCAGAATTATGATAAAAACATATTATATTTTGCTTTAAAACTGGTTCCTCACACACTGTTCAATACAGTCGAAAGTTACGTAAACACCGAATATTTGCAGGGCCTTCTCGGACCCTATATTATCATTAAATAAAAAGTACAGCTAATCTGTTCTAGATAACAAAGTAAGATACAACATGCTTCCTTTCTTTCAGCTTGCTATGTTACACTTAATACACAGCTCTTCATAAAAGATATTTTTAGGTAATTATGTGCTCACTAGCTATATGCGTTTGTTAATAGTTATTGACAATGTGTTCGACATTGGTTTTACGACAAGCCTTTCTGCCAATTTTGCGAATAGACCAAGCTGTAGTTTTTACTTGTAGCGTTGGTTACGGAATCTTTAAATGAACCTCTACAGAGTTTCTAATACTGAGTTAAAATATCAGTTAAAAATGGACGCCCTTAACCAGATATTTTATTTGAATTTGAGACGGATAACGCATTTGATAGTGCAGTATAAGTACGCTCCGGATATTTAAAAAACGCCTGCCGTTTCAGGTTGAGGAGGTCGACGAAATAATTGCTAATAGTTCCTCTGGGTAGCTAGCGAAAGTTAAACGGACGATAGTTCTGCAAAAAATTACAAAGATATGAATTCTGCTATCCTAGCAGTTCCCTTCACGGTTGTCACACATTTTTGGCGAGACCCATTTGCGCGTACTCTGAATAGGATAGCAACTCTGAGCTACTGTTGTGGACGGTGCGCTCAAGACGTCTGGTAAATAGTTTTTTTTCAGATCGTGCAAATGCGTCATCAAACTGTACTATCGGGGCGTGCTAGCCCTAAAAAAGCGCCCAAACATTACAGTGCGGTGATGCTGTCGATAGTGGAATTAATTCGTTATCGAAGCATTGAAAACACATCAAAATACGTCAGAAATATCAGACCCTAAATAAACAGTCGGTCAGATGTAGGTATGAAGCCGATCCTGAGGCAAACAAACTCCAGCCATCTCTAATACGGGAACGATGGACGTAGGAGATTTTACAGGTAAAGCGGAGAACGCACGGGCGACAAGGCCAAGTAATTTAATGCAAAAGGAAAGCTACTAGAAATGCGCGGTTGTACTTTGAGTGGTTGAGAAATAGTTGCTCTAAACAGCAAATCCAGCCCGTAAACATAACATCCTAACCTCAACCCTTACCCCAAATATCCAACGCGGAAGTTAGAGGGAAACAACAGGTCAAAAGTCAAGAAGGACCACCGGCAATGGGCAGAAAAATGTAGACACGGCATCAAGTAGACAACTCCGCCAACAGAGCATACACCGGAACTCACAGCAACATCATGCCAACGTAATAACACCAACTCAAATAATTTTGTAGGACAACAGTATTGTGTTCATCCGGTGTGGCCGCATAATCATATCTTACCAAGCTGTCTGTAGAAAACAGGTTTTCATATTCGATCCATTTTGACCGTGGTATTTTTTTGCAAAAATGAAGGTTTTGTAGGCATCACTCAAGATTTTATTTCTTATTTATATGCCCAAACTTGGATAACATATAATTTCGCTGAACGGAATTGTCAAAACTGTAGAGGAAATTATTAGATATTCGCTTTAACGAGTGCAGACGGTGGAAAATTGTTTTTTTAAGTTCTCAATCTCAGTCATTTGGACTGCTTATTTCTTCTAATATTTTTGAATTTAGTACAACTAAAGCTGAGTTCGATAGAGAATAAACCCTAGGAAGATAGTATTTATCGTTATGTAATGTCTTAGCTGCCCGCACACAAAATTCGGAAAAGATTTACGTGATTTTTCTTTTCATTCACAGTCTCCCGTCTGCGGTATGCTAGATCACACACCAGGCCAAATTAAATTAACATCTCAAAACGATTTATAGTGAAGACGTTGCCATGAATAGCTCCATTTTTCAATTCCCTGTGCACTGAGTGGTTAAACAATGAGCTCTGTTTAAATGACAACCATTCGGCAGGCATTCAAGCCCAGATTTCTATTTTCACTGCCGCCTGCCCTGTCTCGGGGGGTTTTTCAAATAAAGCGTTCACCTGCACTGTAAACTAGACAGTTGCGCTGAATGGGATCACACGGCGATTGGCGAAAAATGCCCCCCCCCACACTGTGGACATACATATTCGGTACTTCGTCTATCCCCCTCCCTTCCCGATTTTCGCTCGCCCTCACGCCTCTCTTTGTCCCCACCTTATAATCCTGGTCTATATATGTCCTGCGGTTTTGGCTCACAGTCACAAGTAGAGCTCGCTCGCAGCGTCCACGGTATGTCCAAGCAGGCACCAATTACCGGTCAGTCGTTTTCATGTTTCGGGATGGCAATTTGCCTCACACTGGCGCTCATCTGCCAAGTCATTTGCCTCCCCTCGTCCGAACTTCGGACCACGAGACCGGCGGGGTTTGACCTCGAACCTGCCATTGCGGAAAGATTATCACAAAAGAGCCCCGACAGCAGTATCCGCGATCTGAGAGATGTCTTCGGCTTAGACGGCGACAATGAAGACAGCGGTACTGCCTCCGCTCTGCCCGAGGTATCAAAACGCATCTCCCTGCAACAGAGGGGCATGTTGCGCCGTATTGTCTACGAAGTCTCCCACTGCATGCGTCCCTGTCTGAATAACGGAATAACTCTTTTGCCGAGAAACACGGTCGACCTCTGTCGCTGCGTATGTCAACCCGGAAATTATGGTCTCGCATGTGAGTACGAGCTGACAGAGGAGGAAAAACGTTTGCATCGCTATTCATATTGATGGTTCTGGTCCAACGCAGTCCGTGAAACTGTACTCCATCGATGGTTTCTTGCAGGCAAAAGGGTGAAGAATTTTCTTAGAGTAATGAATATTTAATAAATCCTCAAGCACGTATTTTTGCTGGTGTGTTCTTTGGCTGAAATCGTGTCATTTATATCATAAGTCACTTAAAGATTAAGAAACTATCGTTTGAAATTTTTAACACGTTGTTAAAGAAACCCGATCCTCACGTCAGGTCTGCCCGGGTGTGATGGGGTATTATGGTCCACAGACAGCAACAAATAATCAGAAAATGATCACTTGTTATTTGTCGATATGTCTTCTGTTCTACGCGGGAGGTAAGCTATTGCGGACGGTATGGACAGACTTCCTAAGCATTCATTGAAAACATAACACACAATGTAAGTTCTCCGGAAAAGAAATGTCCCTTAATAGAACTAACAGTACAATGCATTGAATGCGGCGGAAGTTATTTAAGGCATTTTATTTAGGCATAATGTATCTTTTTACACGAGAAAGGGTAAATTTACGAAACAGGTTAAACGCAAACTGCAGCAACTGCGTCGATAGTCTGTTAGTCTTGGCTATTGCTAGCACAGGTGCGTTTCTAAGAATGGCCACAATATTTTCTGCTACTTTTGTAAGATTGTGCAGTGATATATAATTTCTCCTAGAAACATAGCTATGTGACAGGTAAGCAAAGTTATCCGATGGTACGCGAGTCTACGCAGACCCCTATATCTGTCAGCAGTATTGAAAATACGATTTTCGATCGGCATAAAGGAACGTCAGACCACAAAAGAGCCTTGGCTGGTAAATAACTCTCCTTCTTCTGACCGGTTTCTTTTTTCGATCTGCGAAAGTTAGGCCATTTACTCCGCTCAAGTGTAGAATAATCGACCAATTGTAAAAAAATGTGTGAGCTGAAGGTGCTAACTGATTCTTCTAAATAAAAAGGTACCATTTCGTACCTCTCCCAAAAGCGGTTAATGTTACCCACAAAGGCCAAAAAAATTTTACTGTGATATTAACTTTTTGGGACTTTGATGACGTTTTCACGTAACAGTGCAAGGTAGGCGTCTCAGGTGCAAATTGGACAGAGAAAAAGTCCTGCCTGAGAGCTACAACAGAGTTAAAAATAAGTAACCATACCGCAAGCACTCAATTTGCAGTGCAGAGCAAATCAGTAATGACAGTCTAAAACACCTCTAAAGAGCCTACAGAATACATTTATAGATATGCAACTTTATTAAGGGTTATGGGATACCCATTCAGCAGCACAGATACTCGCTAAACGCCGCTTGAACGATATCCTATAGCGCCGAAACATACTACTGGCAGCCTATCAGCAGTTACGCGTTCATCCCGCTGTGGTTGACGGACTTCGGCTCAAATATTCACGCATAAAATTTCGGCCTGCGCCTATAAACCCTCGAATTTACTGATCTACTCCTAGATCACAGTTACTATCTGTGGAGATTAAAACGTAATAAATTATGCTTCTTTCTTAACTAGTGCATGCAGAGAAGAAACGATAGGAAAACGACACGAGACCAGCGTTCTGTTAGGGGCACGGAGAGAGACAGGAAAAAGAAGGCAACCTGCCAGTAAATAATATCTATGTTTGACCGCTATAACCTGTCTAAGGTGGTGTGATCGACAAGACAAAGATTCTCAAATCAGAAGTCATGGAAGACGGTTTGAGTTGGACAACCTTTGCTGCTGTAGAAGTGACTACACAAAGGAAGGATTCTCTTGCATCAAGAAAGTTTGAGAGATTGAATCACCGGCTTCTGTTAGCCCAAGGAAGGGTACGGCTACCGGCTCTGTAGTCGCATGTATCCGCTATCACCACTGCCTCGTCTACGAGCGACTCGAAATGCTTAACTGACGTCCACCATGTGGCCGCTGTCAACCATGTGATCCACAATCCCGCTAAGGATGAACCTTTCTTTGCCTTGAACTAGCCAGGCAGGATAGCGTGCTCGCATTCGATTGGATGGGAGCCTCGCTATAAGATCGATATATACTGCCCAACAGGAGCAAATTAAGACGTAGATACGCATATAAGGCATGTGAAGGTCCATCCTAGTGGTAACGTTTAGGTGAAGACTATGTGTGCTTGAGAAAACCAGTCTTATGTTCGCGGCTGGGTACGTGCGGTCAATAGCACAGTTTAGGTGACGTTCGACGGCCGCGTCCTTACAAAACAGTAATGTGAGGAAAAAACTATTCTTTTTGTCCATCGGTATATCTGTTTTTAATGGGTATTTTTCGTGTAACGCCGACCAAACCCATCGGGTAAACTATTTACTCCTGTGAAGGCCAGTTCGGTCTTTGCCCTAGCTGAAATGTATATGTTCCTAACTCGGTTGGTTAGGCAGCAGGTTAAGTTTCGTTTGTTTCATCGACAAACAAAATTTCAGAAATGTGCATATTTCTTTGTCCAGTTTGTATTGGAAAATACACTTCTATGAATTGCACCATCAGACTTTTACGTAAATCAAACACGCAAAAAGCGGAAGCAAACTTCCTTCCGTTTTCTTTTATAAAGTTAACGTTGACGCTAGGTAAATTGGCCTCTTTTTGTCCAGAAAAGCGTGCAAATCAAGCGTCTGATTCGCTATTAGAAACACACCATCTTATCAAGCACGGGAATCAATGTCTTTCATAACTGGACAGAACGGGTTCGTTTAGAGGTTTCCCACGAAAAATCCTTAAGTCGATGTCCATGGGAAGTAATTTAACTTCTGCAAGCCATATTCTTTGAGGTGGTCATAAGTACATAATTTTCATAAAAGCGACAAGTACGACGCAAGTACCGAACTTCGGCAGCAAACACCCAATCAGCCACAAACGCAGTTGTGTAATCACGCTCTATCGGTGTGTCGTAAAGCACTGCAGTAAGCCGGAAGATAAGCTTACCGAAATATAATACATCCGACCGGTCTTCAAAGCCAATGGCTACCCGCGCAACTTCGTCAACAGATGTATACGCAAAAGGGACAAAATGCCTAACCGCACGGGCACCAAATCTTTGCGGGCGTTTCCGTATGCTAGGAACGTTTCGGAATCTGTCAGCCGCCTTCTCGCACAACTTGGGGTTGGAGTTGCACACAGACCGAGAGCAACCATCAGGCGTCAGAAAATGAAACCGAAAGACCCGCTACCACGGATGGAAACATCTGGAGTAATTTACCGGATCTGGCGCAGTTGAGGATGAAGCAATTGCGTTGGAGAAACCGGAAGACTGCTCCAAAACGCGAATGGCCGAACGCGCTTCAGCGGTGTGAATAAATGACGCCAGCTCCCAAGTTGCGGCTCATTGGATGAGATTAGGCCACACATTCAATTTCAACAAAGACGAAGTTGTCGTGAGAGGTGACAAATGCCTGAACCGGGAGCTGCTTGAGTCGTGGTTTACTGGCCCCTAGTCTGTCAACAAGTGCAAAGACCCTCCCCTTCAATTCTAATTGCTGAGACTTCGTCTAGGTGGAGTACGGAGAGCGTACACTGTTTCCAACGCCAGGGTCAGTGGGTCAGATGGTCGATCAATCATCACACCAACATCCAACACACGTGATAAAATCGCAGCAATTAACGACGTGAATATCGGCCACCAAACAGTCATCACACCAAGTGTAACAATCTCTGGTGAAGGGAGGAGCCGTGACTATTCGTACATAAGTATTCGTTAGCATGGCGACTGCATCATATAAATACTGCAGGCCCTTTTGCATGAACCACCAATATCTGCTATTGTCTATGATGAAGGACTAGAGAAGGAATCTGGAGCGTCATGAGAATAAAGCTCTTGTCTCAGCGATCGTGTTTCCTCCCTTATAAATTGGGACTTTCTACAAATGGCGAGCGTAATCAAGGCCATATCCAAAGTAAATAGTCAAAGACCGCTCAAGAATAGGGACTCCCGGTGAACATAGGTCGGCTTTTTTAGGTTACCACAGGTAAGACATTGTGATTTTTCTCAGTAGCACGGCGAGGAAAACAGACTTCATAATCCAAAGTGAGGGTCGGCCGACGCTCAGAAGTTTAGAAAAAGGACAAACTTTTTATCAATATAACAACTGTTGGCCAAGGATAATCGAATTACAGTCGGCGTGAAATTTCCATCTTTGTCAAACTCATATACGTGAGTAGTACTACTGTTTTAACTCACAGAGGACAAGAAGTTTCATAAAGATTGCGTAACATTTTGGGTCAGAAGTGTGGTCGTCGCTTTTAAATGCTTATCTCTTTATGTGCCTGGCGGTAGGTTGCGTTCAAACCATAACGCAAGCATGGCTTAATTAAAGGTTTGGAGGTGAAGACTATTAACACCTTTGCCGCACCATAACTGAGAGATTTTACCCTAGACGACATTTGAATACGTAATCAGTAGACATCGTCGGCATTTGTTGGCGAAATATGCAAGCTTTAATTAAATGTTCTGCGTGAGGCGACATAGGACAATGTGATCTAATCATCAGTCATCAAAAACCCATGAAAAGTAATCCCCGCGCCACCCTCCTTCCGACGAAACTCCCCTATGTATCAGTTATGAGCGGGACAGTTATTGCCGATTCAGCAGTTAGGTGCGCCTGCGTTTCACATCTTGAAAGCAGTCATTAGCCACACCACATACCCACTCCGCGATAAAGTACATACATTAGGAGTCTTGTGGCATTGCAGGAGGTATGCTTGGACTGCCAGTGCACAGCCGCCAAAAACGGTCTCTTTAGACATTATGATATTGCCGCCAAAGATAAGGGAGACCGGAATGGCCATTTCTTGCTTATTAGCCGTCGTCAGCCAGTCATGCCCAACCTCAAAGAGCGACACACCCGAGGCTCGAACTCGCGACCTGTTTGTTAGAAGTCCGCGCTTCTAACCACTGAGCCACGAGCCCGTTGCCCTGTCGGTTTTTGATCGGGAATATACAATGGTAGGGGGCGCTCACCGATCGAGTGAGTTCCGTAAGAACGATCGGTGAGCGCCCCCTA